GGCATGTGCATTTATCAACATGTGCATGAAATAAGATGCATGTACTATTCATTGATGTGAATGGGATGCAATGCATGTATTATCTTATTATGATGTGCATCAGATCAGATATATGTATTATCTATGAGGATGCATGGGATGGGTTGTACATACACTACCCTATTATCTCTTTTTCTTTTTTTTTTTAAATATGATAAAAATGTATGTAAAAGATCAAATTAAAATGTGAAAGATGAAACAATATTCAAATTTAAAGTTCCTTTTTTGTTTTTTTTTTTGAAAAAGGAAAAAATTAAAAAACACATATATTATTTTCACACAAAATTTGAGGATTTTTTTAATTAATTTTTATGGCCAATAAATGAAGAATTTAAGAAAAGCTTTTATTTTTGAAAAATTAGTTTTTGTTTTTGTTTTGGAAAATGCTTTAAAAAAATTCTTCATTTTATTTTAAAACATTTTTGAAAATGCAAAATTTGGATAATTAGAAAATGAATGAACTGCATGTTAAGAGAAAATTTACTTTTTTCAAGAAAATGTTTTTCTTTTATTATCTATTTATTTTTTAAAATTTTAATACATATTTAGGTTATTTTAATAAAAAGGTCGGCAGGGCTCACCCTGGCAAGCTTCATATGGCTCACGATATTCTGGGTTATAATTTATATGTCTAAAGGTTCCTAGACTATTCCTCACATCATCGTTCATTATAGACTAGTAAGGCTTTTTAATTCTAACCTATTATAGGCTACTAATGGAAATGGTTTAATCTAATTGAAAGTATTTTGCTAGCAAATGTGGAAGTTATCATCTCACGAGAGCGTAACTATTTAACTTTCTCTTAAAAGGAATAGAGCCTAGGTCTAGAGCTCATGTATGTGAGTGAATATGAAAAAATGTGTAAAGTGACATAGTAATCAAAATATCATAAATAAATCATAAGCACAAAATCAAAATAAAATAATAACTAACATACAATTTATTTTATTTATTAGCTTGTATATATATATTTTTTGAAAAATTAAAATAAAGGAATTAAATTAAATATCAAATAAAACTAATTAAATCTAATAATTATTAAAAGCGTATAATTAAAAATTTTGGTCTGACTCTCAAAAGTCTCTAGTGAAGTCACCAAGATGTTATAACTTATTAGTTTGAGGACTAGATCGTTAAACGTAAAAATTTAAATAAATCATGAAAAAAATGAGAAATCACCACCAATCTTTTTTAAGAGTGTGATTGGTCACCTAAAAATTTATCTTTTTAATAAAACAATAAAACGGGTTTAAAACTTTATTAAAAAGATAATTTTGGTTTACGAAAATAAAATTAGGTTTGGTAGGTAGTTATGCATGGGGAATGATTAGCACTCCTATAGTGCCTATAGAATTGGTACCAATTAATTATGCACTATTTATAATTTTGAAGAAAAATGGTTTTTATATGAAATTTAATTACAATTCCCTTCATTTTGTGAGAAATTAGTTAAAAAATCTTTTATTTAGGAATATTAAGAAAATTTTCAAATTAAAAAAAAATTCTCAAAGTCTCTAACATAAAGGTAGAATTTGAAGATAGTCTTTCCATTTAAGATTTATTATAACTTTCCTTCTAAAAACTAATAAAATAGTATTATTTGTAATTGATAACTATTTATGACTTTTTAACATTTAGGCAGACTACCAATCCATTATATTTCATGGAATGATATTTTAATTTTATTTATTCAAAACTAAAATTTTAAGAAAACTTTTGGTGTAAAAAAAAAGGGAATATTATATAATTAGTATTAAACATCCATAACTAGAGCAAACATATATATATATATATGCATTATAAATGAAGACATTAATTTAAAAATGAAACATATGCAAAATGATGATCAAGTATGAATTTAAGAATTGGGTTTTCAAATATAAAGAAACCACTTGAACTCTCCAACATCTAGGCAGAGTTTGAATATGAATTTTTATATTTAAAATCATGTCATATTATTTGTATTATTTTACACTTTTTAATTTAACAAATTTATTTTGAGTTGCGAAAATGTATGAAAATTCTTAATGAAATAAAATTTTCTAAATACCTGAACATCTAAGTGGCATTTGAGAATATATTATTTAATAAAAGGTTTTCATGCAAATCCTTAAAAATTTAAAATAGATTTAGGGTTTTATAAAATTATGTACGTCACAAGAACAAATTACATAATTGCTATTACTGAATGCATGATAAAAGCATGACAAAAAAAAAAAAAAACTAATTACAAGCCTATGCATTTATAAAACTAAATTGCAAACAAGTTTTGTATGAAAATTTAAGAGAAAAAATGAATCAAACATAACAAACTTTTGAAATTGGTTTGAATGTTCTACAATTTTGTTTTTTTTAAACTCTAACCAAACAAACATAAAAATCAACCAAACCAATCATTCAACTATCATTTTTCCATTGAAAAATTAATTCAACACCTTGAAAATTTAGTAAACATGATAAACACAAAAATCAAATACATAAGATCAAGCAACATTTGGCTACAAATGGATGAGCAAGTTTTGGTTAAGCAAGGAAACTACCTTGGCCGAATACTCTATGGCATTTTCCTAAGCAATCAACATTTCATTTCACTCAATTTTTCATTAAACATCACAATTTCCATCATATGAAGGCATCTACAATATATGAGGAGTTTTCAACAAGCATATAATGAACTAAGAAAAGAAGAAAACATTGAGTCAACATTTAAAGCCAAACAACATCCTCATATCACATTCTAGCTAAAATTTATGTAAACAATAAATAAACTTGCCATTTAATCATCACAAATAAGATTCAAAAGTAATGAAAACATCAACGGAGGACCAAATGAGGTTTGGCCATGGTGGATTAGAAATTCTTTATTGCTTAGTTTTCTTGTTTCAATTTAAACTATTAACTAGTCAGATGTAAGTTGATCCAAGTTTAGTAAAAAAAATCAACTAAGAATTACCACTTTCTTAAAAAAAGAAGCAAAAAATTAAAAAAAGTAGATGATATGGAGAATGTTATGAATGTTATGAAATAGAAAGAAGAAGAAAAAAAAGGGGAAAAGAATTTTACATATTCTAAGCTTGTCACAACTTTCTTTCTTTTTTTTTTCTCTTTTCTTTTTTCCAGCTGCCTTCCCTTCTCCTAAAACTTAGAAAACCCTTATCTTTGCCAAGAAGAAGACCCTTTAAAAGTAACTCTTTTCTTGGTGAGTGGAAGTTCTTGGATCAAATCTCATCAAGGGTCAAAATTTCTTCCCTTTTTTTTTAAGGAGCAATCTTTAGCCATTAGATCAAGATTCAATAGCAGATCTAATGGTCCAGATTATTCACTACAAAGGTTAGATTTTTATAGCCTTTAAACCTATGAAAAGACCATTTTACCCATAGTACAAAGTTTTCAATATTTAAGCTATTTTCTTAAAAATCAATGTTTTCATGCTCATTTTCAAGATTTTAAAGCACCAAAAAATCATGAAATATTATAAAATTGAGATATGAAAAATTTCGTGAAATTCTGACCTTGAGAAGGTCATATTACAAAAATACCCCTAAGGGGTATTTTGATAATTTCACATTTCTCGGGGTACTGCTATGATTTTAAATGCACCAAAAATTATAAAATAATATGAAATTAAAATCTAAAAAGTTTCATGAAAATCCGAGCTCGAAAAGGCTAAATTATGAAAATACCCTTATAAAGGTATTTTAGTTTTTTTACACTTCTCAGGGTACTGCTATGATTTCAGATGCACAAAAAATCATGAAAATATTATAAAATTAAGATCTAAAAAGTTTTATGAAAATCCAAACTTGGTAAAGCCAAATTACCAAAATACCTTTATAAGGGTATTTTGGTAATTTCATACTTTTCCCATTACAATAAAGGATTTTAGTGTTTTAAAAATCATCAAATTTTAATTTTAAATAACATTGATTCCAATTAGGTTATGAACTTTGAAGATTAACTCTGGTCCTATTTATTTTGATTAAGTTTTGTATAATTTTGACCAGAGTTAACTTTAGAGTTTACTCGCTTTTATTTTTCCTACATCCACGTGAAAATGAATTATCCATATAAATCTCATGCGAAAGAGTTTGACAACAATCATATGGTTCTCCTTTTTATTAGACCTAAATATTAATGCATTTTATAAACTCTTAAAGGTTTATAAATAAGCTTGGATTAATCATGCTAAAATGTTTTGGACAAAATTTAGTGTCTATACCTAACATATCTAACATATAAATGGTGGAGAAAAATTGATGACTCAAGAAATTGTATTCCTTTGTAGCCTGTAATTGTTAGGTTCGGTACAAAAGTTATATAGTTAGTGGACTAGATATAAAGATCGCAGTTACAGTTCTGTGATTAAATCATACGAATGAGGTCTCATTGACCAAAAAAAGTAAAAAATGAGAATGATACTCGATCTTAGACTTTTGGATTCGGTCTGTCTGTTACAATGTGCATAATGTTCAATCTAAGTTTTGTGGTAGAAGTCAATAGTAGGGTGTAAACGACTCAAGCTATTTTTGGGCAATTTGAACTTGAATTGAAAAGTTCGAATTGTTTATTATTGAACTAAGCTCGAGTTTGAATTATTTAAGTAATGAATTAAGTAAAGTTTAAAAAATTTAATATTTGACTTGAGAGATTAGCGAGTCTAATTAAGATTTTATTTTTTAATATATATAAATAAATCATAAAAATATATTATTTAATTTTAATATTTTTAATTTTATCAAATCTAATCGAATCTAATAAGCTTAGTTTGAGTAGCTTAATTAATTATGAACCGTATATAAATATAAAAAATAAAATTCTATCGAATTCGAGTTGAGCTTTAAACCTTAAAATTTCAAGTTCATGGTTGACAATGCATCCATTGGATTTGGTTAGATTTCATAAAACAAGCATCATGTTTAAATTCATGTTCTCAAGTATAAATAACAAAGAAAAAAATTGATTTCTATGATGCAAAAAATCAGTAGAAACTGCCTGGATTAAATATAGAGGATAAGGACAGAGTTCAAACAGTCATTCATTACTAAAACAACTATGTTGTAGTAAAAGACTAAAATCAACAGTCTCAAACAACAAACTTCGCAGACGCCAATCCATTCACGGTTTACAAATATCCCCTGTAGGAAGCTAGAAGTACATGATGTATCGCTACAAAAAGAGGTCACACCCATAAAAAATATCTACCACTATCAGACAAAGACATACAACTCCAAAAAAGGACAAGTTCAATCCGTCTTTCTTGTTTCTTTTTTGTGGGGCTGTTGCCGATTGTTACAGCCTTGAATAAGCCACCAAATGGCCTAAAAGAGCTTGATAACTAAAGACGGAAATGCCAAGATAACAGTCAAGCTTATATGCATTACAGCAGTTGATAGAAAGAAAGGCTGGCTGACTAGCGAGAAGGCTGCATTTTTTGCTGGACGGGGACGGTGGCCGATATCGGCACCCCCACGCCCACCCCCACTCCTTCCACCCTTTGATTTCTTTGACAGAAAATTTTGATGCTTCTTCTGATAGTCTTGTTTGTCATCTTTTGCTCCCAAGCCAACTGTCCTGTTTGAATGTGTGAAAACTGAAATTGCAACTGGTTTCAGGAAACAATTACTTATCAAATGATTTAAAGTAACAGACTACAAAACATTAATGAAATTCATACCATGAATCTCTTGTCCTTGAAGAACAGGTTCCGAGAGATTGAAATCTTGAGTTTCTAATGTAGGAAAACCTTCAAGCTTCCAGCATGACAGGGCAGTTGCAAATAAGAAAAATGCAAAAAACTTCAGCATCATGCCTTCTGGTGATAGTTTGGAAAACTTCAAGAGAAGAAGAGAGGGTGTTTTGGAGTGGTGGCCGGTGGGAACAAACTGTTCGGGTATGGATTACGGGAAATAGATGGGATATAAAATGTGAAATGCAGGAAGGCTTGTAAGGATATGGTGAATAGTGTCCGAAGAGTTGAGTGGCCCATTTGTGCTGGGAATAGCAATAGTATATATGAAGATAATGGTAAAAAGACAGTGTAAAGTAGCGTTAAAAGGGAGCAAAAGACCTTTGAATGTGCCAGCAAATGTCCAATTTGCTCAGACCAGTTTTCATGTGTTGTGTCTCTCTCTGTCTGCTTGCCAAGTCATTGCAGTGTCTTTCACTCTACCTTTAGATCTTTTGCTCCTATAACAAAATTAGAAATATAGTTAAACCTTGATTTAGCTAAAAGTTAGACGTCCATAAACAATTGGGACATATTGCAAGAGAACAATATTGCGTAAATCTAGAGATTAACTCAATTAATTTACATAATTATTTTTAAAAAATAACATTCATCATATTTTAAATATTTTAAATTCAAATCTCAGTAACTACCTTTTTTATCTTTAGCTTGCGGGTTCTTTTGTAAAAGAAAAAAAAGGACATTAAAGAAAACAACAGAATTCTTGTCAAAGATAGAGCAGTTTATTTATTTATTTATGATTTCACAATGAGATTTGTGCTTGTCTCGGAGGGAGTAAAATTATAGCATCTGGCAAAATAAAGTAAACATCACATTGCTGGTCTGAAGTGAAAAAAGCTGAGAATAGTTGTGAAAACAAATCCTAGGGGGACAGTAGAAAAGAACGTATCTTTCCTGTGATACAAGAATAAAGCATAAGAGCTCAGTTTATTTTTCTAAAGTATTAATTTATGCTTAGTTTAGTAGGGTAAAGTAACTTGTTGCTTGTTAAGCAAAAGTTGCAAACGAATAGGATGCCTACTTTTTTCTACCATTGCCCAAAAGTTGCAGATTTTTCACGTGTAGTGTGTTTGCACTTTATTTCGTCACTAGATTCCACTCTTAATTCTCCTTTAGACTATTAAATTATAGATAAACTTCGAGTAGGTTTCTCGTTAAAAATTATTTAATTTAATTAAAAATTGAAGATGAAATAGTTTTCTGAAGTTTAATGCATGGATTAATAATATATACTTGTTAAACAATGAAATTTGATTGTCATTAAAAATAAATGGAAATTCTCTATACTCAAAATTTGAATAATATTTATCAAATGGTGAAAATTTAGTTAAAAAATTTAATAAAAAATGTCTGTTGGACTAAAGTATCAAAACTTATTCAAATTATTCAAAACACTAAGCAAAGACAAAGACTATCAATCTATTGTTATATATTTTCGATTTTAACTATTTTTAATAAAAATTTTTATGAACCTGACTTAAAGAATTTTAAGTGTTGTTCTAAAATTATTACATTTGTAATTTAGCTATTGTAATTTAGTTATGTTGAAGATATTAAAGTAATGTTTGATATACAAGATTATGATAGGATAGGATAAGATAATATTATAAATATGATTAGATTAAATAATGTCATCTTATTTTGTATTTGATGCATGCAAAGATTAGGATAGGATAATTTATTTATTTGTCAAAATTATCCTTCTTCAAAGTTTATGCAATTTAAATTATTGATGTAATTTTTAATGGTATAATTGGACATGTAAGTTTAATCCTATAGATTAAAAATAATCTTCTCCACATAAGGAGGATTGAATAATCTTATGCCAAAAAGATATTAATTCTTCTTGCAATCCCTATCCCTCTCTTTAGATATAAATCAAACATGATATGAATCATAAAAATAGAGGATTACAGAGAGTTTTACACTAAATAATAAATAAAAAATAAAAATAATTATCAAGACCATCAACTTAAAAAATCTAAAATTAAAACTGGCTCAACTATTTAATTCCCTAATGGAGTTGCCAAACTCATAACATGTATGTCCTAAAACTAACCATTAGAACAACATATGGAGTCGCACCAATCTTTTTAACTAGATGTAATTAGCTAACTAAGTGAATCTATCCCTTCTAAGGAAGTTCTAAACTTGATTAAGAGTCTTTAAAAAGAATAGGATTTGTTAATTTAAACAGAACTAGATTTGGGAGTTCAGTTACATGTAGGAAAAGTTATAGCACATCTAAAATGACCATAAATTGCTACCAATTAATCTTAAATTATCTTTAGCCTTAATTAACAAGGTCCTAACTTATTCGTAATTATTTATTATTTTTATTAATTTAAATATATTAATATTGGATATATTTTAGATTTTTTCCAACACTTTGCTTGACCCCCTAAAATATTATTCACCTTAAGAGTATTCAAGTAACACATCCATTTTCTTGAAGAGATTTTGTCGTCAGATTTATTAAATATTTTATGAAATTTAATACATAGTAAAACACATAATCCAATAAAATAAAATAATCAAATATAATAATCAGATATAAAATTTACTAAATGTAATCATAATTTATCTAATAATCAATCATGCAAGGAAATTAAATCACCACAATTTATTCCCAATTTTAAAATTTTGAAAAAAAATAAAAATTCTTATATTGAAACAAATTTTTAAATCTTCTAAAGCTTTAATCGAATTTAGAAAAAAAAGTTTCTCATCTAGAAACTTTCAAGAAAATTATACAGTCATAACTTTTTTAGAATTTTATTGTTGGAGAAAATTTTTATTTATTCCTAATCGTTTTATTTTTACAAATTAATTAAACAAATACTTTAAATATTACAACAAATATATAACTTAATCATAAAATAATCAAAATAAAAAATCAAGTAAATAACTAAATAACTAATAAAGGAATTGAGATAATTTTACCAACTAGCCCAAAGATAGAATGAGCTTTGCATAGTTAATGACCGAAAGAAGTACGACCAAGTTGAGATAAATGGATTCAATCAAGTTTGGTCCAAATTTGAAGGTCTATGCAAGCTGCCCTCTTTATTTCTTCTTCTTGTCTTGTTTCTTTTCCATACTCCCCTGTTTTCATGCTGTTCTTAAAAACTAAAACAAGACCTTCTTTATCTTCTACTTCTATTTCCTAACTCTCTAACCAGACTTCCCAAAAGCATATAAAACTTGCATTCCCTATCTTTTGTTCGATCCCCAGAATGTATACCTTGAAGCTACTACCAGAAAGCCTTTTTTATTATTTTTTTGGTGTCTAGTTACTTCTATATTTCTAGTAGTTCTCTGTATTGTGGTTGCTGAATTGCTTGACTATTGAAGGGCTGTGTTGTGATCTTTTTTGTATATTGTCGCTGGACTTGGTTAAGCTAATAAGAGATTGATGAAGGTTAAGTTGACTTTTTTAGCTTTTTGCTTGTAATCGAACCTTTTCACTGCCCCTTCATCATGTATTTTTTTTCTTTCTAATCGTCCCCACCTTTTGTGAAACTATTGTGCTAAATTTATAGGACAAACACCCCAATTGTGAAAGAGTTTCTGATCAACAAGTTCTTAACAATTACAACTCCAACCAATTTCAACACTTTTAATCCTTTGCCAATTCTCTTTTGTTAAAGTCTCGGCCAAACAAATCTCCTTTTTTTTTTTGTGGAAATGAACAAACTAATAGACTAGATAAATCAATAGATTAAAAAACCTTTATTTGGGTTTAAGATTCAAATCTAAAATCAAGTCCAATTAGACAATACTGAAGTCTTAATTAATCGATTAAGAAAACTTTGGGACTTCAAAACCAAAAAAATTTTAAAACCCTAGGGTGTCTACATCGATAGCCCCTATAACAGAGTCACTAGCGAGGTAAGGTAGGTGATTGGTGCAAGCTGCCGATAGACTATCTCACAGGGTGTTGCATGAATAGCAGTAGTAGGTTGTATTATACCACTTTTTTGCCAAAGCTAACCAGAGACTCCAATCCTTTGGTTTCTCACTAGTCATACATCGTAAATAAGTTTGCAGACGACGATTAACTACCTCAGTTTGCCCATCGGTTTAAGGAATATGTAATGGATAGCTTGAGAGCGGTGCCATGTCTCTTAAATAATTCTTACCAGAAATTATTAAGAAATATTTTATCCTGGTTAGAGACAATACTATTGGCATTCCACGGAGCTTATAAACTGATCCATAAATGTTTAAATTACTACGGAATGCTTTATCTCTGTTGGAGACAATACTAATTGGCATGCCATGGTGCTTATAAACTTGATCCATAAATGCTTAAGCTGTTGTCAATGTAATATAAAGGTGTTTAAGAGCAATAAAATGACAATATTTACTCAGGTATCAAGAATGACCATAAATCACATCCTTACCATAGGATTTAGGGAGTCTTTCTGTAAAATCCATAGAGCTGTCAATCCATATTCGATCAAGAAGAGGAAGTGGTTGCAATAGACTAGGACTAGCAGCTGAGTCATATTTCTGTTGTTGACATGTGGAGCATTCCCTGACAAATCTTCTAACTTCCTTTTGTCGCCTCTTCTAATACAAGACACTGGCAATTCTGTTCAGAATTGCTTGTACACCAGAATGACCCCGAGTGGGGTTGCTATGAAAGTATGTCATCAACTCTCTCCTTAATTCTGGTTCCTTCCTAACTACTAGTTTACCCTTCCTCTTAAGCATTTCCCCATGCCATACATACTTGGACTTGGACCCAAATGAGGTATGCAATTCGAAAATGATATTCTGAAGCTTAGGATCTTGCTCCCATGATTTTTGAATCCTCTCTAACAGGTTAGTTGGTTTGTGAGGATGAAGTATTAGTTGGAAAGTTGGTGAATGGATAATGTTTAGATTTGGGTTCGGGTTTAACATATTTGGATTATGGAAGTCTTAGGGATAGGTAGCAAAGGTGGCAATAAGGGTGGTTTGCTGTATGTATTGGATGAGGAAGTATGAGGTACTGGTTAGGTGGATTTCGAATTAAATGCAGTTTTCTTGGTTAATGGAAACATGATGGATTCTATTTGTTTTGCGAAGTGTAAAACTTGGGTAAGATTTGATGGTCTTAAAAGTCTCAAGTATTTAAAGATATCATGGTTTAAGGTATTAATGAATACACTCAGAGCAAAATTATCAGGTAATTGCAGGAGGTTCAAAATACCTATGAAATCTTCATAGTACTGCTCAACAATCCCCAAATGTTTA